GGCCTTCGGGTGCTTTAGAACAGCGGTCGCCAACGGACCGTGAGAAAATTTTGGTAGGCTGCGGAGAAATCTCACCCCCAGAGTACTCTCCCAAAGCAATTAATCCAGGCTGCGCAGAAACACAAGGCTGCGCCGCCTACATGGCCGACGGGAATCCTCCCCGCCCACTCACTCCTTACCTGGCAAACTTGCCTGCTAAATTGCTATTTTTCCTTTTTCCGACCATCATCTGTTCTGCTGTGCCGGGAGATTTAGATTAGCTAGGAAGCAGGAAATGGTTGGATTTCTTGCTTTCTAGCTAGTCTTTAGATCTTCAGCTCTGCTTTTAAGCATAGCCGAACCTCCCTTAGGACTGAAGGTTCTATTATTCAGTGCAGACTCACAGCAAGCAAATTTTATGTGACAATCTCAGGTAGCCAATGCCAGATAGATAGATCACTGAATGATTCTATGAGCAACTCAATCTGCCTGCCTGCTTTGCCTGATTTTGGGTAAAAGTTGCTCTTTTTTAAATAAATATTCAATATGTACAAATATGGTGTGTTGTGAGTTAATTTTGTGAGTTTGCTTGCTAGCAAATTTTATGTGACAAACTGAGCTAGCCAGTGGCAGATAGATAGATCTCTGAATGAATCTGTGGTTCTGTGAGCAACTCAATCTGACTTCCTGCTTTGCCTGATTTTGGGTAAAAGTTGCTCTTTTTTTTAAATAAAAAATTCAATATTTATATAAATATTGATAATATTTACATATAAGTCATGCCCAGCCAGTCACATGACCACCAAGCCACGCTCACAAATTAGGCCATGCCCACAGAACCGGTTAGTGGTCCCTGGGATTTAAAATTATGAGTTTGGTGGTCCCTTAGGTCCAAAAGGTTGGCGACCCCTGATTTAGAAAATAGCTTTAGAAAATAAGATGTTCCTGCCATTTCTTTTTTCTGCTGTTTCCCTTTCATGTTGCCTTCGTCTCATCCCAAGTCTGTGAGGCAGGCTTAAATCATTATTATGTTAGCCATACGTGTGTTAAGCAGTGTTTTTCTCCTTATTCTGAGACCCTCCGAGCTCAGCCTCAAGATCTGTAAGGTTGGTTAGGCTTTGTCAGACACTGACTTGGACAGAAGTCAGGGAAGAGAAGCAAGAACAGCATCAGCAAATGGGGATAGCCAAGATCCTGCCAGTCAAGTATTTTGCTAACTAAGTGGAGTGAAGAAATTAAAACTTTCCAGCTCAACAGTGGGGAAAATCAAGTTCGCATTGCAATAAATAAATAAAAACACCTCCTTGTTTAGAATTTTGGTATGATGAACTGCCTCCACCTTGTGGAGCTAGTGGTGTGCTGCAACAAATAAAGTCCAGATTTCTCTTAGAAACCAAACACATTCACAATGACGTTTGCTTTCACAGGTATGAGATTTCTTGATTCAGTGCAACTCTCCTAATTCTGTCTTAATGAAGATCTATTTCTGGCGTCTCCAATTAAATGAGGAGAGGGTAAAAAATGGTTCTATAAGAAGGACAGCTGTCTATCAAAGTCTGTATGATAAGTTAGATAAATATTATGGCCTCTGTTTCTATTAATGTCATTCTCATTTAGTATCTCTTTCTTTTTCTTCCCCCACCTTTATATACACAAGGCAAATCTCCAAATAGAGGATATAGCCTCTGATATTTTTAATGAACATTTCAGAACCCAGGAATACAAATTCCTGAGGACTAGCACCCCTCAAACTAGCAAAAATATAAAAAAAACAGCCTAAGCATGGAAATTTCAAAAGCAGCAGGATTTGTGAATGAAAGCCATCCACTTTATCTACAAAAGATTCATTTCTTCCATCTATTACAGGGCCCCCAAACTTGGCAACTTTAAGACTTGTGGGCTTCAATTCCCAGAATTCTCCAGCCAGCATAGCTGATATAGCATAGCTGGCTGTAGAATTCTGGGAGTTGAAGTCCACAAGTCTTAAAGTTGCCAAGTTTGGGGACCTCTGATCTACTAGATACCTTTAAGCTGTCAGAAAAAGCATCTTTTTAGGTACAGGAGAAAGTACAGATCGCTTTGCCTCAGGAAGTAAGGAAAGTTTTCACAGGCAAAGCAAAGGCTCTGCAAAGATTGTTTGTTAAATGTGAAGTGTTTTCAACTTAGGTTCCTTTATTTTTTAAAAAATGAAAATGCTAATCAAGTATCAAGACCAGGATCAGAAAAAGTTTCCAGCCTTCCTCCCAAATGTGAGGCTTTGTACACCAGAGTCATTTGTTTTTCCTTCTGCTTTATAACCTTATATAGTCACTTGGCAGGAGGTGGGATACACACATCTAACCCAATTCCTTTGGAGGAAATCTTGACATTCCTTTTCAGCCCACTGCATAGCTGTATTTGGTTGCCCCCCCCCCCCTTTTCAGAGCTCCCCATTTATCAGGTAAAGGTTGTGACCCAGCATCTCTGCAGAGGATGCACGGGAAGCCAAGAAACCTAGCAAGAATCCAGGAGCAAGTGGGGATTTACTGTCAAGGAATCCCATTTCTTTTTCTTCTGAGCCTGGATCTCTGCCAGCTGCCTCTGGTGAAGGGCAATACATGATCAGCCAGTCAAGAAGGAATTATGTTTATGGGCCTCTGAGTTTCAGATCAGTAGTGGGATTCAGAATATTTTACTACTGGTTCTGTGCGCGTGGCTTGGTGGGCGTGGCTTGGTGGGCGTGGCAGGGGAAGCATACTGTCAAATCCCCATTCCCTCCCCACCCCACTAACCTGCTTTCCAGCTCCGTTCTCATGTGCAGGACAAGCAAAGAAGACCCAGCCAATCAGCTGGGACTCGGGAGGCAGAGAATAGATGGGGGCGGAGCCAGTCAGAGGTGGCATTTGCCGGTTCTCCGAACTACTCAAAATTTCCACTATCGGTTTTCCAGAACTGGTCAGAACCTGCTGAATACCACCTCTGTTTCAGCCTCATCTTGATTCAGAGCCTAGCAAGTCCCTTCCTCGTTTGTTGCTTCACATTCTTGGAACTCCTTTGCAAAACGTCAAGCCAAAAGGCCTTGTCCAAAGGGCTTCCAACTTCACACTCAATGCGACGTGTCAACATCCAGGATTCCAGCCAGAGTTTTTCTTGAAGAATTCCTGGGTAGAACTGGATTTGAAGACCCAACGGACACAGTCTGTCGCTTTATAAAATAGCTCAATATTCTCCTCAGCTTTTAAGGGCCCATTGGTCAGATATGCCCTGGGCAATCTCCTCACGTGACCCTCCTGAGGCATGAATGAAGACCTTCCCCCAAGCCCTACCTCCTGAGAGATTTAACAGTGTGAGAAGACCTACTTGCTTAATCCATCATAGGGTTCTGCCTCTCTCCTTCACAAGCAGACTCATGTCTCTCTTTTAATTTGTAACCAGAACAATCTAGCCACGGTGGGGTTCGTCCACCAGGTCATTGTTTTCTCTGTGTTCATAGGAATAAGGTGGGTTTGAAGAAGAAGGAAGAGACTGGTCTATTTTTGGTGGCAGAGGTGCCTTCAAGTTATCCTAGACTTATGACTACCTGGACAATTCCCTGCAGGGTTTTGGGGTTTGTTTGGGGTTTTTTGTGACATTTTTTTCAGAAATGGCTTTCAGAATCAAGAAGTGTCATTTTCAGCCTTTCTTCCTGGGACTGAGAGAGGTTGACTAGCCCAAGGTCATCCAGCTGAATTTATTCCTAAGGCAGGACAAAAACTCACAGCCTCCTGGTGCCTTTTAACCACCACATCAAACTGGCTCTCATTCTTGCTCTTTTGTGGAAAAGTCCAACTAGGGAAGGATTCCGTCTAGATCAGGGCTGTCCAACCTTGGCCCCTTGAAGCTTGGTGGACTTCAACTCCCAGAATTCCCCAGCCAGCTGGCTGGGGAATTCTGGGAGTTGAAGTCCGCCAGGCTTCAAGGGGCCAAGGTTGGACAGCCCTGGTCTAGATGATGCTACCACCTGCGCCGCTGGGTGATGCCCCAGGAGGCCACCCATCCCTCCAACTGGAAATGAATCCGCAGCTGTTCTCGTCTACTTTTAGTTCAGTGGCACATCACATGTTTTGCAGGCAGTCCGTCCCAGCTTCGGTCTCTCAACGGAAAGGATCGCTGTCTGACCAACAGTCTGGCAAGCTGTTTGCCTGTCAGAAGAGTTCGTTCTGGGAAAGATGGGAAGCGCCATATGCTAATAGCCTAGATCAAGTTACATGCGCGCCCTCCCACCCACGCACCTTCCTGCCACACGAACTGTGCCAAAGTTAGTGAATTGGAAGAGATTCCCCAAGGGGCGCTCGGCTGTCCCATCTTCATCGCTGTTAGCTCGGGGTGTTTTTTTTTTTTTTTTTGCATTGCCGCCGTTCTTGTTATCAGCCGGCTATTTGCAAGCAGCCTGGAGCAGCAGCAAAAGGTCAGAGCAAATGTTTACATTTGCCAGACGGGTTTGGAAGACCGAGGGCGGGGGTGGGGGTGGGGTGGGGGGGGAGGTGTGTTGGCAAAGGTGATCAGCTGTCAGTGAAATTGGACTCACTGGAGGCCAGAGGGCGGGCTAGCAGAGGTGATCAACTATCAGTGTAATTGGACTCACCACATCATTGCAAGGGCTGCGAGGCAGGTTTGGACATCATTGCAAGGACTGCGAGGCAGGTTTAGGTTTCAGGCCTACTGTGGCCTGCCGGAATTGTGGCTTTTGCGAGGGTTTACTGTGGCCATTTCCAACGGCTTGTGCTGCTCTGGGAGGGAGCTGTGTAGACGCAAAGCCTTTTTGCGTTTGAGCTGGTGGGAAGGACTCTGCTGTCTTGTTAGAGACTGACCCCCCTTGGCAGATCCCAGCTGTCTACCCAGGATAGCCTAAGCCTTTAAGGGAGGAAGCTAGAGGGAGCTTCAGGTGAGTTATGGGACAGGCCTCTTGCCCCTTGTCCCTGGCTTACCCTTGCTGGAGACAGTGATGAGAGAAACTTGGCCCCGCTGTCAGCTGGATCCAGGCCAAGCCATTTGTTTAGCTTCCCGGCTGGGGGTGAGGCGACAGCAGAAAGTTCCCTAGAGCAGGGCGGATGGGATGGTGCCTGTGTGTGTCTTGCTTTGAGCTTGAATAATGGCTGGGGGTCCCTTCAAGGAGCCACAAAATCAGAGGATGGCGAAGCTCCTTCGGGGCCGGAATATCTAACGTTGTGGAGGCTGCCGCGTCTCTGCACCCAGAGTGCCAACACATCAGGACGAGAGACTCGGAGGAACCGGAGGGAGGAGAGCTGGCTTCTTGCAAAGAAGATGGACCCTAGCCAGGTTCCCTTCTGTGGCAGAGACAGTGTCCTTTCGGGCCCCTGTTTTCGCATGGCTTTGGGCATTTCTGGCTCCAGGGTCTAATTTAGCCTTTCGGCCATCGGCTACCATCCTTGGCTTCGTGCGGAGCTTTGGGGGCGGTGGCAGTGGTGGTGGCAACTGCCTGAGTTCTCTGCCACTGTGGAACAGCAGCTGTGATGTAAGTGGGAATGATTTCCCCCTGCTCCAAGCTCCACAACTCCCCGGGAGTTTCCCCATCCTCCAAGACCAGCAGCTCACCTGTCCTCTCCAAGAAAATGAGCATGATCCCCAATCTTCGTCTCCAGAGGAGGTTTACTGTGGCCCACCCACTTTGGTAAGAGGATTTTGCGGGGGGGGGGGGGGAGGACTTCTCTGGGGCCGTTGTATGCGCTCCTCATTCAGAGGTTCATAATGATGAGCTTGAAGAAGGACAAACTAACATTCTAACCCAATATTCAACTTTTTCTAGCAGTAGATAGTTAAACCTTTCTAGTAGCAATCCTCCCCTTTGTTTCCCAGTACTCACAGATTCTCCACAAAGAATTTCCACTTAGCAGTTAAACCTGTTCTTCATGGATATGTTTCGCTCTCTTTTAAACTAATCTCAAATAGCCTGTTGGGAGGAAAGGTTGCAGGTTGGCTCTCCGCTGGATGAGAACAGGCCATCCTGTGTTGTCTTAAAAGGGGGAAAAAAAGGTGTCCTTCTGTTTAAAATTCCATTTACCCATTTTCTGGACAAAGTAAAGTTTATTCATGCTTAAAGTTTGTTAGACGCCTCTGCTGGTCCATAGGAGAAAATCAGTTGCAGGATAAGTAGGTACCTTGGATCAGATCATCTTTTATGTTCTTTTATTATTAAATGGAACCTCCCACTGCAAAGTCTCTCTATCTGGGAACATACAGTGGGGAAGAGCAGCTGTCTCCTTCCCTGCTTCTTCTGAGCTTCCTGCAGGCATTTTCTCTTTTAAGGCTTTTAGAAATTATGGGGGGTGGGGAGCTGCCCTCCAAACAAACAATAAATCAGCATTTAAATAAGGAAATAAATCTGTTAAGTCTCTAATTGGGTAAAAAGGGATGTTTCAGATGTATTACAGTACTTTTTAGAATTTTTATGATTCTTGGCAACATAGATTTGTGTTTTTCCCCTCCCTTCTGCACTCTGTTTTAACTTTGGGAGGGAGAGAGGGATTGTCTCCCAAAGGGGAGAGAGATAACCTCAGTCCATTGTGAGATTCCGACATCTTACACAAACCACACACTCACATCTTGTCCTCTGCCAAGTCCCTTCCAGCCGCATCAACAGCTATTTATAGGAGAGTTCCAGATTCCGAAAGTATCTTCCCCAATGGGGTCAGGAACAATTAAAGCAAACAAAGTGGGGTGGAATTCAAAACAAAAGTCGGGAGGGGATGGTTTGCCAAATGCTTTCCCCCCTCCTCGGGTGAGTGAGTGAGTGGGATGGAGGTTAGATTGAGCTGCTCTTGTTGCGCTCATGAGGAAAGAGGAGAGGGGGGGGGAAAGTCCTCCTCCGTTCACATACATACCTCCACACATCTGCTGCTGTTGTTCTGGGCCCTCGGGTTTTTGGCTTCACCAAAGCATCACGTGATATTTTGCGCATTCCTGGATACACAGTTTTAGAACCAGAGTATTTGGAAGGTGCCATTGAGGCCCGAAGGTCCAATTCCCTATATGGTGAGAAGATCCAGATTAAAGCATCCCCATTCAAGGGATCTTCCCAACCTGAATAGCTTTAGTGAATTTGGGGGGGGGGGGGGGGGGCCGGCTGCTGTTTCCACACTCCAGTTGTTTCTCTTCTGTGTTAGGAATGTTTTTCTTAACATTCAGCAGCCATTACAGGTAGTCCTCAACTTATAGCTGTTCACTGAGTGACCATTCAAAGTTAACAATAGCACACTGGAAAAAGTGACTTACAATTCATACGTATGACCGTTGCAGCATCCTCGGGGCCACACAATCAACATCCAGACGCTTGGCAACCGTTGTGTATTTGTGACTGTTGCAGGGTCCCAGGGTCATGTTGTGACCTTCCCAGCCAGTTTCCAACAAGCGGAGTCAATGAGGGAAGCCAGATTTGCTTAACAGGGAAGTGACTAGTCATTCCCTTAACAACTATAGCAACAACAACAAAAATGATCATAAAATTGAGTGCAACCCACTTAACAACTGACTGAATTAGCATCCAAAATTCTGGTCCTAAATTCTGGTCGTAAGTTGAGGATTACCTGCATTCCACATCATTCTTTGTGGGGAAGATAGAGATTTCTTAGCCTTTTTCTGCAGGTATTTTCAATGCGTCACTAATCGAGGCTAACTGTTCCCAGTTCTTCAGTCTCTTCTTGCAGCGCTTAAGGTAGGAACTGAATCAATGAAGAATTTAGTGGAACTTTTTACTTCCCTTGATTTGAACATGTTTCTTTAAGTGGAAACGGCAGCGAGAGAAGCGGAAGGAAAGGACGTGCTAACATTTTCCTCATAGACTAGGCAGGCTTAGACCTGGATTTGTCAAAGCTGGAGATATCTTGGGTCCTTTCATCCAAACTTGCTGAACTTGATGATTGGGGAATTGGAGGCTAAAACATGTAAAGAACGGTTGCTGGAATTGGGTATGTCTAGTCTGATGAAAAGAAGGAATAGGGGAGACATGATAGCAGTGTTTTGATATCTCAGGGGCTGCCACAAAGAAGAGGGAGTCAAGCTATTCTCCAAAGCACCTGAGGGCAGGACAAGAAGCAATGGGTGGAAACTAATCAAGGAGAGAAGCAACCGAGAACTAAGGAGGAATTTCCTGACAGTTAGAACAATTAATCAGTGGAACAATTTGCCTCCAGAAGTTGTGAATGCTCCAACACTGGAAGTTTTTAAAAAAATGTTAGATAACCATTTGTCTGAAATGGTGTAGGGTTTCCTGGCTAAGCAGGGGGTTGGACTAGAAGACCTCCAAGGTCCCTTCCAACTCTGTTATTCTATATTCTAAACTCCAGGCAGTGCCTAAAGAAAGAAGCTGTAAGGGCTGTGTTCACAGAAAAGCCTTAATCAGTTCCGTTAAGAACTGACCCTGCGTGTTCCCAATACAATTAACTTAGTTAGGATGGCATTGCCTTGTTTACCTTTTCATTTGAAGGCAGCTGATTTGGTTATTTTAGGGGTTGGGTGAACCTAGAAAACAAGATGGCTAAGGGTGTAGGGCAGGGGTCTCCAATCTTAGCCACTTTAAGACTTGACTTGTGGACTTCAACTCCCAGCAAAGCTGGCTGAGAAATTCTGGGAGTTGAAGTCCACAAGTCTTAAAGTAGCCAAGTTTTGAGACCCCTGGTGTAGGGTGTATAAAGGCCTTGCAGCTTAGCTTGATAACCTGGTTTACACCACAGGGAGCAGCAGCTGGATCCCTGTAACATGCCAAGTCACAGACAACCAAGAGAAAAAAAAGTTGTGTGTCAGACAGATGACAAGGTGACCTTGCTCGCTCTTCCTGAAATGTGCCTTCCACCAGCGACTTCAAAAACAGCCATCTTGCCTTTGTTCAATCCGTGACTTTCTTGGCTTGTGAAGTAATGTTTGGTTTGTTTGAGCTTGATTTTGGCATCAGGCCCACGCCTGAACTGCTGTTTTCCTACCAATTTTCAGAAACATGGTTTTGTGTCCCTCTGTTTGAATGGAAACTGCATGACCAGAGGAAATCTACCTCCAGGGATAAGCACTGGGCAGGGCTGATTCTTTCCAGCCCTGCTTGTGATTTCCTGCCATTTGTGGGCTGCTCCGCAAATCATCCGATTTGCAGACGTCACTAAGCTGGTTGGAACAGCCACCACCCTAGATCAAGGGGGGATGTCAAACTCGCGGCATCACATTGTAGTCGCGTGACGTATCGCGGCTTTCCCCTCCTTCTCTAAACCAGGGGTAGGCGTGGCCAGGTCGTGAGGCATCCGGCCCATGGGCCACAAGTTTGACACCCCTGCCCTAGATGATAGCTTAAGATCCAGATGGATCTTGGCAGACTTGAACACTGGGCCCTATCTAACAAAATGAAATTCAACGTAGACAAAAGTAAAGTCTCACACTTAGGCATTAAAAAAGTGAAAGTACACGTATAGATTAAGTGAGACCTGGCTTAACAGCAGTAACTGTGAGAGGGATCTTGGAATCCTAGTGGACAACCAATTAAATATGAGCCAGTAGTGTGCGGTGGCAGCCAAAAAAGCCAATGGAATCCTAAATTGCATTAACAGAGGGATTGAATCAAGATCACGTGAGATGCTAGGCTTTAAAGCCTTAGTAAGACCACACTTGTAATACTGCATCCAGTTTTGGTCATGACAGTATAAAAGAGATGTTGAGACTCTAGAAAGAGTGCAAAGAAGAGCAACCAGGATGATTAGGGGACTGGAAACTAAGGCATATGAAGAACATTTACAGGAACTGGGCTTGGCTAGTCTAGTGAAGAGAAGAATCAGGGGAGACATGATAGCAGTCTTCCAATATCTGGGGGACTGTCACAGAGAGGAGGGGGAACAACCTATTTTCCAAAGCACCTGAAGGCCAGACAATAAACAATGATGGAAATTGATCAAGGAGAGAAGCAACCTAGGATTAAGGAGAAACTTCCCAACAGTGAGAACAATCAACCAGTGGAACCGCTTGCGTTCAGAAGTTGTGGGAGCTTCATCACTGGAGGCTTTCAAGAAGAGACTGGACAGCCACTTGTCAGAAATGGTATAGGGTCTCCAGCTTAAGCAGGGGGTTGGACTAGATGACCTACAAGTTCCCTTGTAATGAGTTAGACCAACTATGGAGTTAGTAAATGGACTTTCCAAAACTCTTGTGCTAGTGAAATGAAACCTCCCTGTACTGAAAATGTCTACCTCTGCCTGCCTTCATCGAACAAACTTTAATTATCAGGCAGCAAAGGGCTATTTATTTTAATTTTGCTTTTTTTTCACAACAGAAAGAAGCATATTTATGGTGTTTTTTTTCAGTCTCAGATGCTCACATGGCCTTAAGTTTTAGGTCCTTTGAAATGGAGGTGGAGAAATTGTTGCTCTGTCTTAAACAGCATAAGGTATTTCTCACAAGTTATGTGCAATTATAATTATTAAGAAATAATAAGTGCTTATTACAGGTAATACTCGACTTACAATCATTTGTTTGGTGATCATTCAAAGCTACAACACCGAAAAAAGTGATTCATGGTCGTTTTCACACTTATGACCATTGCAGCGTCCCCTCCGTCAGATGATCAAAATTCAAATGCTTAGCAACCGGTCCATATTTATGACGGTTGCAGTGTCCTGGTGTTCTGCGATCACCTTTTCT